AAGAGGACAGACTGATTGTTAATAGCCTTTGGAAAATTTGTGGACCTGTTCTCAGCTCACACATGCTGAAAACCAGCCATACTGCTGCTGCTATACATACATTTTTACCATAGTTGGCTCTATCATTTTCACTGAGATTAATTTTGTAAATTTGCACACTTTACTTTTAACTTATAGGCCTCTGGGCCATGAATATTTATGAAAACATACACAACCAGACAGTCATTACTAGATTAAGTGTCAATCAAGTGGAACTAATTTGCAAAACCTCTCCATGTCCTTCAGTTGCACATAAGATATTAATTTATTATTAATTATATTTTATATTATTATATTTAAAAGAATTTAGGTCTCACTTCTCCTCTCCTTTCTTTCTGTCCTCAGTCTGTGCTTGATGAAATGATGGTGGAACAGACGGACCTGGTGCGCTTGCGACTCGTGCGCATGTCCAACGTCCCAGACACGCTCTACATGGTCAACAATGCCGTGCCTCAGTGCTGTCACATGATCAACCACCAGCAAATGGCAGGGAATTCATCAAGTGCTCCGTCGGTCGTGGCCAATGAAATTCCAGGTAAGTGAAGTGTTCAGGTGTGACCAGAGGGTGAACATTATGCAATTCAGATTTTCCGAGTGGCCCAGAATAATGTCAGAATAATCAAATGACTGTGTTTGTATCGGTTGTGTCTTTCAGTGCCTCAGCTGCCAGTGGTGAAAGAGATGATCCGGAGGCTGCAGGAACTGAGACACACGGAGCAGGTCCAGAGAGCGTACGCCCTCAACTGTGGTGAAGGAGCCACTGTCAGCTATGAGCTGCAGCTGCGGGTGCTGAGGGAGTTTGGTCTGGCAGACGGAGCCACTGAGTTACTGCAGGTCAGCAGAAAGCAAAGAGATTTGTCTCCACCGGGGGTTAGAAGGGTTAGAGGCGGGAGAGAGATTGTCTGTGCTGATGGTGAGACTGAGGACATTGACAGACCTCAGGAATACAGCATACACACACTGGCCTGTAACAATCTCAGACAGACATGTTGTGTTTTCTTTTCCCAGCACCATAATGGATAAAGATCTCATAAGCTCCTGTTTTGTTTTTTGTTTCTTCAGAACCCCTACAAGTTCTTCCCTGATGAACGGTTTGGAGATGAGAGTCCAATTCTGGCTCTGCGCCAGGTGGGTCGTTGTAGGGTAAACAGCAGCCCAGCCATGGATAGCATGTTCACAGAACTGGAAGGGATGGCTGGCTTCCACCCACCCCTACCTCCTCCACCTCCCCCATACCACCCCCCTGCCACACCCAGCCATGCTCAGCTCAAGGGTGCTTGGCGACCTCGCGTGCCCATGCCAACCCCAACCCGTTCCTTCTCCTATCCCTGCAACCGCACCCTGATCCAGCGCCATGCAGCCGGCAAGCATGGCAGCTCAGAGTACCCCTCTGTGCCCAGGCCCCAGCCCCCAGACTGCACCAACCCACAGGCCATGGGTCGAGCTTTGCTTTCAGACCAGCAAGCGGTGAGTGTGGGTGCTACTTCCGAGTGTCCTCGTGTCGTTTTTGTTTATTCAAATGCAGCATTATGGCTTTTGCTCTGGATCATCAGCAGCACAGTTGTCAGGTAACACCACATTTGTATTTGTTCTGTTGCAGATGAGCATGGAGCCCGTTATGAGGGAGTTTATGCCTGACATAGCACTGGGTGTCTCCGTCATGTCCCTGAGGGAGCAGCACATTGTAGAGATGGACAGAGATGGCCCTCACAGCCCCATGGGCCCCTCAGGCCATCATCTGCCGCATGGGCCCTGCCCCTCTGTCCGCCTCAGCCACGGCCATGGTCCTGGACATGGCCACTCCTGCAAGAGACATGCTCCTGAACCCAAGCTGGAGGCTCAAGCCGAGTTCCCTGACTTGTATGACTTTTCCTGCCGACCTGCAACCCCAACCTCCACTCACCCTCTGCCCTCCTTTGCAGGGCCAGACCTCTACAGCCACAGCTGCACCCCCTCCAGCTCCTATCCACCTCCTTACATTTCTGACTCTCAGCCCCAGGGCCACATGCAAGTACGTTCTGCACCTGACCCACTTCGACTAGATGTCCTCAGTATGACCTCTCAGAGACATGATGGAGTCCTTGCCAGTCCCTCCGGGGCCCAGCCCAGGATGGGACATATTCCAAGGGGGCGATCAAATGAGACAGACCTGACTCATGGTTTAGGTCATTTACGATCCCCCAGTGGAAACATGGACAGCTATGATGAGAGGCACATAGGACCTAGAGATGCCCCGGAAGAGATGGTTCTCGCTGGAGAATCATCGGGTCCCCAGCCTCACAGGAACAGTGTAACCGAGGAGATCGCCAGAGACCGCAGGTCACCCAGCAAGCCTGACTACCCTTATAAGAAATCTGCACTTTAACCCCAGTGGAGGGCCAGGGGTTGAGTTGAGAAAAGGGAAAAAGTGATGAGTGGCTGTCCATCACAGTGGACAGCAAAGCACTAAGCGTGTGCCTGCGTATATAGTATGTGTGTGTGTTTGACAGGAGCAGGGAAAAGGTGTGGTCGATGGTTGCTATTTATAGGATCCGTACTTTTGTCCTACCTCTTTCACACTGTGCCATCCATCACACAGTCAGAGTATGGAAAGAGCAAGAGCTGTAGGTTAACTGTCGATGCTTGTGAATGATCTCTGTGAACCTGCTGGGTTAGAGGATGACTCAGACTCTGCTGGGATGAGTTTGATTGTAAAGAAAGTTTGGCTCTGTGCTGTGTGAATCCTGCATGAGGTCACAACACTAGTTGTAGCTCAGTTATGAACCAATGGTTGAACAAAGACTGCATTCATTAGCTCGGCTGTCTCTCTATTATTTTCAGGATTGAATGGGCCTGGTTTAGAATCTCAATTTAGAGTCTGGGACAAGAGTATTGTGATAAAATGATATGTAAATATGTCTGGCTTTGCTCGTTCCTCCCATGACTTGTATTTCCACTTCTTCCTGTAGCATGCCTTCAGCAACCCACCTGACTAGTTTTCCCCTTCTGACTACGTTTCTGCAGTGCTGATGGGTAATGGGCCAGGGCTTGGTCACACAAAGCAGGAATTGGATCCGACAGGAAGTAGGTCATCAGAGCTCGTCATTCTCCAGTAACCCAGTCTGATAATTATGTCAGGCTTCAGCTATCACAGTCTCTCAGTGTCTAGCTTAGAGGCAGAAGCCTGGTGGGGTTTTTTTGTTCAGAGGAGGGAGGGGGTCAGGAGGATCACAGTCTGGTTCATTACCGGGATACAGTTGAAAATATAGGGGTGCCATGGCAACTGACGTACAATGATCAAACGGCGTGCAGGGGGATTTGTCGGTTTTGCAGCTGGAGCAGGTGTTTGTGCGTGTGAGTGTGTGTGTGTTTGCGCAAGGATAACTTTGATACACACAGGTGTTTAGACAATCTCAGTACTGTACACCCCCGTCTTTAGTCAGGTCTGTTTGTACATATCAGAGGGTCTGAGATGATTAACCAGTCTTTAGCACAGAGTGGTGGTCAGTGTGATAGAGCTCCCTCCAGTATGAAAAAAATCCAATCTAAAGCCTTAACCAGTGCTTGGAAGAGTCCGTTTTTAGCTCCTTATTCAATTAAGTATGATGTCATATATCGCAAACCCCTGTTAACAGCTTATTTGACTGTTCTGCTCACTGTGGACGCGTTCACCGCAAAGATCTGGGTGGCAGAGGTGGAGTTCACTCGACCTTCAATGCTAAACCCATGGATACACATCAGGCCTCTGTCTCACCACCTCATGGGAGATCGTGGAGCAGCACAGTCAGCGTTGATACTGTTAAAGAGCTGCAGCAGCTGTAGCTCCACCACCCTGCAAGTAAACACATAAAAGCCTGTTACAGCCAGCAGCTGGCACACAACCTCACATATGCGCATCGTTGCACTGTAAGAGCCACCTGTTTTATTAGCTGAAGGGAAAAGGAACAAATGAATTTCGAACAAAAGGAATCTTACGTTGAAGAAAAGTTGGCGATTGCAGGCTCATATCTCCAATGGAAATTGTATATAATGAACTGAGTTCCACATGTTCCGATGGATTTTTTTAATGGTTTCTATCACATTTTAGTGGTCTTTGAAGGTTTGTGTTTTTACTGTAGTGGACAACACTGTGTACTTTTGTCTTTTCGTCATGAAATCTCACTAAGAATGTGTGGTATAAAACAAAAAGATTGTGTCTCTGAATCTATTTCGTTCTTAAATGTTCCGCATCTAGAGCAGTCTGTTCAATATCGTAGTTGGTGTGGATTCCCATGTTTTGTAGAGATGTTTTTTTTTTCCCCACTTTTCCTCGACTTTAAAAGTAACAGGAATATGTAGAGGATCTGAGGATATTAGCTCCCTGCTTAGCAGTAATGAAGTTGCCAAGCAGAAAAATAACTTTTCCGTCTAGGTTGCTTCATGGGGAAAAAATGCAAAACTCCAGATTCCTCCCCATGTTCATGTTGGGTAGTTGTTTTATTTTCCAGGACAATGTTCCGTTGGATAAAAGTCCTTGTTTTGCTCTTTGCTGTAGAAAAGTCAGTGCCTTCCCCCGCCTGTGGCTGGGCTTTTATTGGAGAAGTGACTTTGATGTCTATGCAAGCTCTTTTCTACCAGCTAACCAGCCTGCATCAAATAGTTCTTTGAAAACTCATGTAGCTCGTTTTGTGTACAGTGTTATCTAGCGCCTTTTTTTTGGAAACTGAACCATCTTTATTGTGTGACTGCTTGTGTTTGAATTCTAACAGGTACACTGTACTTGTATGGTTATCATAGAAAACATGTTTGTAGATTGATATTAAGTTGCATTTAGTTTCACTGAATCTATTTTTCTACTGTCGCCTCAAAAGGTGCATAACAGTGGTCAACTTGGGCATCCTCAAAATAAACTGGTTTGATATTAAGGAATTCACTTGATCTCATTTGGGTGATATGTGATTTCTTTATTATGAACATGAATTCACATACAGCAGCAATATTCCTTAACATCGCCCTGAATTTATTGCATCAAATAACTAATTAAAACCAACATATTGGTAAAATTATCACTTGGGCACACATCATAAAACTAGAATGGTAATATCAGGATTTTAGTTGGATCTGCACCAAATTGCACACACTCAGGCCCCTAAACATCAGATTTTTTTCTGAATTATTCTGAGAAATCAACAAAAATACATTTGAAAATGATTGATGCGTTATGGGTCTGAATCAGAACTCATACCACACCCCTCAAAGTTTCTGATAATCCCTCCAGCAGTTTTCGTACAATCCTGCAAATTAACAAACACAGATGAAAACATAACCTTGGCAGAGGTAATAACAGAAACCATCTTTGGGAAAATAAATGTTACTTTTTGACTTTTGGCCTATGTCCCATCCACTATCACACATCAGGGTTTATGGCCCATACTGCAGTCAGCCACCAGGTGGCAATTGATGCACTTTGGCTTCAATTTCTGAGAGCTGTCATGCCATCCATCTTTATGAACAGTCTATGGTTTTAACTTGTCGGTTTGAACCTCTTCACCTAAAACCTCAATGTAAACACACCGGTTTGTAGCTCAGTCTAAATGCATGGACGTGTTCTCAAGAATGTACATGGCAGCATCATGTGAAATACTCTCATAACCCACACATGCTGTTTTTCAAAGCGTATTGCTGAAACAAAATCTTTTGTTCATAAAGATGCACATTCAAAACCAATGCTTCAAGTAAAAGTTTCATCACAAGCTTCAAAGTTAAGGCATCACAATCAATCAAAACAACTGGACATGAAAATGTACAATCTTCACTTAGTAATGAGATAAAGCATATTACAACAGTGACTGGAAATCAGTTCTCTTTGCACTATTTGTTCAAGCTTAAGGATAAAGTGGGTTGCAGCAAAAGCCCTTTATTAAAAGAAAGAAGGGTTGTTTTCCACATGACACATTCATTCCTCCATTAAAAAGCTCCACATGAACCTGGCATATGATGTTTGCATTGTGGCTGCCTTGTTACTGGTATCCTGCGTTGGTTCTGCGTCTTTTTCTCGCACGCAGCTCATCAAAGAACTGATGCACGGCTTCGACAGTGAGCGTCTGACAAAAACAGAAGGAGTGAGTCGGGTATACAGAAAGGACCGGTGTCCCTCAAATAATTAAATTTGCAACAAGACGTCTATTTCTCACCTTTCCTTCAGCAACACACTGGTGTAAAAACGCACTGATCGAAGTCGTCAGCTCATTGAAACCTGAGGGAAGGAGATGCGATAAACAGACCACATTGAATCTCAATCAATCACCTCTCCCTTAAAGTTTCAATTTAAACGATTACTTCCGAGCTGGAAACGTGACCTCACGTTTCCCCGCTGCCCCGATTTGCCCTCGCCATGCTCACCGTAAATAATCTCCAGCTGCTGCACACGGTCCATCGAGCTTGTCAGTGCCATTAGCGGGTGCTGGCCAAACGGCTCATCCAAACCTTTGTTCTCGTAGGCCAGAATGGTGTCGGACTGATCCATGAGGAACTGCACCTCAGCAGCCACGTAGGCCCTCTGTGTGACAAAAAAAACAGTCATTAAAAAAAGATGCTGATGTGCTTTGAAGATAATGTTACATTAAACAGGATCAAATTGGGAAAGCAAACACTGGCAAGCGGCTCTTTACAACCTGAGCTTATAATTTGTGACCCACCTTGCAGCTTGTGCAGGTGCAAAGCTCAGAGCGCCAGCTGTATGGCCAGAACACTGCTCCCTGTCTCAGCCTCTCCCGCCCCTGGTCCTGCAGCTTCTTCAGCCTACATGCCTCAGATTTGGTCGTGGCCTTTCCAGGGCTGCCAGTCATTTGCTCATGGGTCCGTTTGCCCGGGGAGCCCTGGTTCTCCGCTTCCTAAGATGCAAATAGTAAGAGTGGACGGGGTGAGTTACTGTGTTACACTGGCCGGAGGGATAGAGGATCACACCTGGGCTTTGTGAAACATTGCTGCACACAGCACTGCAGACTCATCCGGGGGATGTCTCAAGGCGAATGACACGATGACATGATTGGGCGATGAAAATCACCAGTTTACAGTAAGCTGTCCTGTGAAGCCTGGCCAAAGCCGTCTGCAGAGCAGGAGAAGCAGTGCCTCATGGGTCATTTCTCCTCTAATTACCCAGAGGAGGGGAACGCACGATAACAGGAGCTGGAGCCTGCTCTCTGAGTCAGAGCTATAATCCCCTCATTGCTCTCCAGCCCCACCTAGTGGCAGAATTGCATCAAACACAACAGTAGCCTCATAGGAAACCAGTAGCTCTCAATAGAGCTCATACCTCTGCCATGGTCTAACAGTCCCTGTAAATTCTATCAAGCACACACAGATATCAGTCTCCTAAATGTGGCAGAAGTTTTTCATCAAAATCCATCTATGATTCCTTATCAAATATTTGAAAATGTAATAAAAAAAATTTTAAAACATCACAATGTTAAAGAAACTGGAAAATAATATTATTCCAATTTCCAAATATAATTATTTGTCACCACCTGGTTAACACAATTGTGAAATTTCATTAAAAACTGAGACACACTGATCACTGCCTCACCCTGTATTCATTGCCAGGAGGTTAAAATTCTTTAGATGAGATCAATATTTTCCTCACAAATCCCTGAACCTCTTAATTTAATAGACACAAAAGTGACAGTTTAATGATGCAAATGTCATTGATGATGTAAAACTTTCTTATAACTGTCCTTTTAATTCCACTCAAGTCATAACGTGCTTTTTACTTATCAGACATTTATGCTGTTTAATTTGTGAACTTATTAATAGGTGAAGGAAAATAATGTTTTCCTTTATGAAAGTCTGGTCTTTGTTCCTCATATGACAAACCCTCCATATTAAGATGGAAACAGATGTTCTCATAAGCACCGTCTCTCACCTCCTGCTTTGTGTCCTCAACACTGGTTGTAGCTTCATCCCCACTTTGCCTGGATTCCTCTTTGTCTCCTTGTTCCTCAACGTCGACCTCCACCTCCACCTCCCCCTCCTCAGGATGACTGACGCTGATCACCGGTGGCACTGAAGGGAGAAACACAAGTTGAAAAATGGCTGTTAGAACCTTATGGTCTAAAGTTGAGACACGTAGGTTTGTTTTTTGGAGGTTGAGTTACCTGCAAAGTCAGCGGCGTACGTCCATAAAAAAGGAGCCTTGTTCATGCACGCCTCACACACCATCTCCTGCAGGTCATCCGGTTCCACTACAGTGCAGCCCAGGTGCTGCGAGTGACCACATGAAGAGCAGATGACTTAAAGTAGAGTTTAAATGTAGAACGGAACAAAGTGTATGCTCAGAAACTCTTTCATTTTAATAAGAGCCTCAATGATGCAGGGTTTTAGGAGCTGATGCTGCTGCCAATATTAGTGATTAAAAAATGTTGATACAGATATATAAGCCAATTTATTTTTTATATATATTTAAAAGCAATGATTCCTGAGATGTTATCAAACCCTTAAGACAAAGAAATGTAATTTGACTTGATATTTCACAGTTTAACTATAAACTGTATTAAAAATAACTATATATAAATAGAAAACACATATACAAATAGAGAAGCTGATACCGATTTCTGTGACAGTTTGATATCAGCTGATTTTTTTTTTTAAGCAGACGTGCTTACCCTGCTATGAAACCAGTCCTCACAGACAACACACTGAATCATCTCTTCGTTGACCTGTTGAGTTATTTTAGGAAAACAATGTTAACAGTGACAGATCAGAGACAAACATAAACAGTAGATTTTATCTGTACGGTGTGGTTTGCATGAGAAAATCAGAGAGGAATACCTGATCGTCTGTGTCTGGGTACGGCCGATCACATGTGCAGTAGAAGCCACTGAAGTTGTGGTTGTAGTGATTCCTGACATTTTCCTCGTCCTTGGCCTGTGGATAGAAGAAGTGGAAAAACTTCAGCAACCATGATGTGCAAAGAAGAACACAGGCTGGATGATACAGCCTCAGTAAGATAAAACCAGCAGACTCACAGTCATCAGTTGACACTGGAAATCCCCAAACTTGCTATTCCCGCAATCACAGCGAAAATTTCTAAAAAAAAACAAAAAAGTTTCAATTGACAAATCGTACCACAGATTAAAAGACTGAGCAAGCTGTGGTTTAAAATCTGTTTCTTAAATACCTTTTGGTGTATAGTTCAAAGATATCATGTCCATCGTGGCACTTATTGGCACAAGCCAGACATATCCCAGCAGGCTCTGCAGCACTGGGGGTGCAGGTGTTGCAGGCAAACACAGCCTGTCTCTTCACATAGCCCTGCAGCAACCAACACAGGAAGAAGAAATAAACACGTTATGTACTATGTAATAAACAGATTTAATAAAGAACTATATTTTTTATTTCATACTCTCTCACAGAAAGAAATAGAGACTAAATACAACAAACGAAACTACTAAATAGAAATGCTGCAGTGGTAGTGAGCAAGACAATGGAATTTTATTTTATTTTAATTGGTGCAAAATAAAAACCAATTAGGAGTATATATTATAACGACAATAGCATTACATATACCACTGCAGCACTTGTATTTTGGGTGGAAAGGCAACAGCAGATGGAGGCTGACTGTGGCTGCAGAGGTGCGGCGCAGGAGGCTTTTCTTACCCGGGAATATGAGCAGTTTTCTGGGTCGCTTCCTGCCAGAACACACAAAGCTTTCTCCAGCTCCTCCTCACTGACGGCAGCATCGTGGAGCTCGGACTCTTCCTTGTGTTCAGCCATTCTGGATTGTTTTAACAACTAAAAGATGGTGAAGGAGAGACACAAAGACACGAGTACACGACTGAGTGTGAGCAGCAGCACGGTGTTGACAAACGACTGTTCCGGGCGGGAGATTGGGCCTAGACCACGTGAAGGAAGTGACGTAAGAGACATTCAAATCAACAATCAATAGTTGATAGTAAATCATTTTGTTGTTGACTTGCGTGTAACGTTAATACTAATTTACAAATGTAGAATTTGGCTCCTTGTGCGAGTTTAAATGTTTTTTTCAGAAGTTTATTGATTAGGGGAAAAAGTGATAAAACTGTACAAATGTTTTATAATCTATTTAAGCAGGAATAATGTGAGACTTGTATTCCCTTTCCTTTTTTAAATCTAAATTCACGCTGATTTATTTTCTGTCTTCTACTCTCATTGTCCCTGTAATACGTTTTGCAATTTATTTATTTCAATTTCAATTTACACCTGCCTCTTGGTAAATAGTACAAGTCAGCTGTTATAAAAAACTTTTA